CCCTTTGCTTAATTCGAAAATACACTGGTTTTTGATACGGTTAGGAGTAGTTCAGTTTGATTGCGTTCTCATCACAGATCGTTCTAAGTTGCTGCAACGTATACGCATTTGATATTGATTTAAAAACAGAAACGTTAAATTAGGTCCAGTCGGTTATTAACTTATTTATTGATCTTTATTTTGGGGAAATCGTATCAGGTCGACCAGTAAAAGTTCCAGAAATGTTTTTCATCATTTCCTTTCGATTTGTAAGTACGCTATCTTCCCTGTTGAATAATGTTAAATGTTCTTTTAAATAAGCTTTCTTTTGATCGCAATAAATTTCAGCCATTCTAAACAAGCGTAGAAAATCATTTAATGAGAAATCTGATCTAGAACCTTCACACAGAATGTTTTCTGTCTTTTATCAATCAAACTTGCAGACGTCACTTATTTTCTCACCTCACTGTGAAAACGAAAATATAAAACTGTATCATTTTTAACATTGTTTTTAAAATATGCCCATGAGAAAACGGTCAAAATAGAACGTCAAAATTCTCAATGCTACAGAAAAAAGTACAACTCTTCTAAGTTAGCCAGTATAACATAATGCCTAGCCTATATAATTCGCCCGATACAAGCTAACCATATAGAAACATTTGTGAGAGTTGTCAGCTTAAAAGGATTGCAAATAAAAAATAAATCAGGTATGGCGTATGGAACTTGATTTCATAAATTTAAGCCTGGACAAAACGCAAGGGAGTATAAAATTGTTTTCCGACAATTCTGATTGCTGTTCGAAGTACTGCATAAAAGGCCCTTTCGGGAACCGGATGGGACAAAATTATGGAAGATGAGAACTTAGAAGCAACATCTCTGCAGTATGAAAGACTCTTAAACAATTTCTTTTAGAATAAAGAAAATATCTCTTTTAAGTAAGACATGTATATATGTGATATTCGATTTGTGCAAAATATAGGGAAGTTGGTAAGTGTACAAGAATTACGTCCTTTCGAAGAATCAATTTGTAAAGATATCATGACTCACTAGCATCGGTGAGATATAATTTTAAATGTCTGTTGGAGGCTGAATAAATTGGCAGAAATAATCAGAGGATGGAGATGCGATTCGCTTAGAATCTGTCAGCTAACGTCTGTAGAGAGGAGTAAGAAAATTTGCCTATGTTTGTAGATACGTCCGGCTCTGTCATTGTGAAACTCCTAATAACTAATCTGATTTGTGCCTCGTCTTCTACCAGATATTTTCTCCAGTCATCAGCAGGATACATTCATATTACCATTTGAAAGAGCTTAAAAACTTGCATATTAAATCCAAGCAATCTTACCTTAAGAAGCAAACGGAATGGCTGCCGGGATTTAATGTGTGCTTTCTGTGATAACAGCAACTATGATTTCCAAATTCAGAATTAGTTTTCTCTATAGAAGATATTAAAGTACAGACTCAATTATTTATTCTAAAAAAAATAACGATATTAGATTTGAGTTAAATAAAAGCAGAAATTGTATATCTTTCACATTATTCAGCCAGTATGAATTCTATACCTTACTATTTGTTAATGAAAATATACTACTGCCTTAGAGACAAGAAATCTATTTAAAATAAAATTATAGAAAACTTTAATAGATTTATAAATGCGTTGAATAAAGAATTCTTTAAGAAGAGAATTGGCGACTCACCGCTATAATGGAATCAGTTTATCCATTGTTTTGAAATATTAGTTTTGCCATCTTAATTTCAGTCGCCTTTTTATACAATCGCTTTCTAAGAGCAGGAATAAAAAATTGCTTTCGTTCTGGGCATGAGGCTAAACTAGGTCCGGCAACAAGGCTTCTGATCGGAAAATCTGATGTTTTGAAGAAAGTGAAATCACCTCTTAACTGCTATTGATCCCAGGTCTACCCTGACTGATTAGCAGCATCTGTTAGTGTCCCAGATTTGGGAAAATAGTGAAAGCCCATACATAAATCAGCGGTATATTTTTTATAATAAAATGACAAACAGTACATTTTTATGCAACACTAAAAATATAAAATAGATTATTATAGTAAAACAACCAATTTTAAAGGGGTTATATAAGGGATATAATATTATCATATGTACAGTTGGCCCCGGTTACACCGTTGACTAAACTATATATCCATTTACTGTAGTCAAAAAATACAGCTGTATTTAAAATAAACATCCCGTGTTACACGGGTATATATGGTATCTAAAAAACATACCTTTAATCTGAAAGTATAAAATTATGCAAAATATCTATACTTGAAAGTATAAAATTACGTACAGAATATTTAAATTAAGGCATTAAATAATAATTAGACTATGATATGCCATTAAAAAAATTAACGAACCGAAAAATGGCTATGGGCGAGTGAATGTTGGCGAAAACATTTCGCGTTCGAACATTGTGTGCAGACGCTACAGTCACAAACAAAGAAATGTACCAGATAATAAACACCACATCCCTTGAGGATTTTCAACTGCAGCAACAACAAAGAATAACAGATGTAACACGATGATAAAAATAATTAAAATATTTACGTTCCACACTACTTGAAACAAAAGGCTAGGAAGGAAACCCCTCTCAATACTGGAAGGAGCAATAACAGTTTTTGGACTTGAGAAAACTATTTTCCTGAAAAACTGTTTCAATAGAAATATTTTATAAATTTCGCAGCAATAGTTGTTAGGTCAATGATTGCCGGATGTTTCCTTATAAGGAAATGGCTAATATTACCATCAGCATTTATCCAAAATTACTACGGCCGTCATAAACAATGCAGGTGGAAAATAAAGAATGAAACTCTAATTGAACTCAAATATTCATGTTTTTCTCCGCCCCCAAATCGACAGCTGATTTAAGGTAATATCTAAATATCTCTATCTATCCTCTTATCAAGCAATAGTCTACCATCGGAGTTGATATAAACTAATTGGACATGTAGTAGTAATAAGAGTTCATGCTGGTCACTATTTATATTATTCGAACTACTGTCCTCATCTTTGTCGTCATATTTATTACAACGTTTCGGCCGTTGTACGCTCCAGCATTCTTCAGGTGGTTGGAATGTCGAACTGAACCCTTTATTTCGCTCACTATGATAGACTGTTCTAATTCCATGTGCCATGTTTTAATGGATGTCAGTTATTAGTTATCTCCTGTTAATTCCCCTCTCCAAGTTCTCCACTGCCTTAAACGGGTATTGAACTCACACTCTTTGGGTCCTGTCAATGGACCTAAATAATGCCTTTATCCGCTGTGCCATGTGTCCACAGTGGATAAAGACAATATAAGCAGTTAATATTGCTGGTATTACAGTCATTTTCCCGAATGCACGCTCTTTCATTTAAACGTCCATTAGTCACTACTTGAATGATAGCAGCCAGTGCCGTAGCCAGGTATTGAACTCACACTCTTTGGCACGTGGAACTAGAACAGTCTACCCCAGTGTGCGAAACAAAAGGTTCAGTTCGACATTGCATTGACCTGAAGAAGGTCAGAGCATACAACGGCCGAAACGTTGTAATAAAATTGGCGACAAAGATGAGGACAATAGTTCGAATAATGTAAATAGTATAACTTTTCTCTTTTAAATTTATGTTTGTTCTTACGACCCATGGCAATCTTTATAAATCTGAACAATTATTAAACTTTGCTCTTATGTATATTTATGTCTAGTATGAAAACAAATCTATTAGATGCTTAATAAAATCTGTTACTAGCAAATTAGTAAATTTAATAAAAACAGATAAAGTGATATTCACGTTGTATATTTATCATAACTCTACCATGTATAGTCTACAAGCATCTTCTTCATTTATGTGCCATGTCCCCTCAGGACATAGGTGATCATGGCTCTCCACAACTTCCTGTCCTTTATAGCATTTAATAAATTTTGTCATTTTGTTATTTCTCCTAAACTTTGTTCTGCCATCTGTTTACTCAAACTTACTAAGTTATGCTTTCGATCCTGTCACTGGACCTAAATAACGCCTTTATCCACTGTGCCACGTGTACACAGTAGATAAAGACAATATAAACAATTAATATTGCTGGTATTAAAGTCATTTTACCGGGTGCATGTTCTTTCATTTAAATGTCCATTAGTTACTACTTGAATGATAGCAGCCAGAAGTTTAGTCTAAACGTTAAGCTACTTGTTGCGTCAAGATCGATTTTCTGAGGAAAATAACTCGTATTTAAATCTCATAGGGTGTTTAGTTATTTCGCATACACGGCGTTTATTAACAGCTATAGAATGGCGATTTAAGAATTACACAAGAAATCAAATTAAAGTTAGTCAGATTCAAAATGAGATTCAAAAATCGATATTAGTTGAAAAAAATTGAAAAAAAATGTTTTTTTCTGTAATAAATTTGTAGAGGGCGAAGATTTTGTTTGAATAAACACATTTTGTATGACCTTAAAAAGTTTTAAGTGCATTGGCAATTACATGTTTAAGAATGTGAAAATTAAATGGATTCTCTGATACTGTGTTCGAAATATTTCGTGTTCTCAAATTTAGTATAAAAACCTCTGAACAAAAACATTGAAAAGTCTTGTGAATTATTGATTACTTTCTAATTAACACATGAAACCACTAAAGTCTTTAAATAACACAAATCCGTAATATTAACAGAATTTACAATGGTTGACAAAATGAATGGAAAACAATGACCATGTTTTTCGGCGTACATAAACGCTGCAAACTTTAATGATGCTAAGAATGCATCATTAAATTGTCTGTAGATGCACAATGTGTTTCGTTCTTTCTTCTTTGTTTGTTTTGTTTGTTTTTTTTTTTTTTTTTACTAAATTTGGATTTGTCTGGCGTAAGGCCAGCATTGCGAGGGATATAATTACACTCTAAATCACTAAACTATTGATTGGCTTGCAAGCTTCGTTTGCTATCATTTTGTGGCAATCAACCAAAAGATATGATTAGACGAATAGATACTGAAGACATGTCAGAAATATATCGAAGAACAGACAGACAGACAAATAGATAGATAGATAGATAGATAGAAAGAAAGAAAGAAAGAAAGAAAGAAAGAAAGAATAAATAATGGATTGTTTTATTTTGTAGGTTCTGTCCACATATTCCGGTTATTTAAATCCAGAGAATATTTTTAGATTGTTAGAATCATTTAAGATAATGATGATTTCCTGGTGCATGTTCTAACAATTAATCCATAGCAGCGGAGATATTAGGCGGGTTCATACCTTTCTCATGGGTATTTTGCGCGTAAGCAAACATAACTCACCGGGCTTGAACTGGAAAGCGGCTCCCAGATCTCCAATTCATAGCCGTTATACGTTACACCACCTGCACACTCGGATAGAAAAAAGAAAGGAAAGAAATCAAAGAAAGAAAAAAAATCAAATGAAAGCTGAAATAACAGAAAGAAAGAAAGATAGAAAGAAAGACTAGCATGGCTAGACGATCAGATATAGAGAGACTAAGACAGTCATTTAGATAAATGGACAAATACATAGAAAGGTAATTTTTTGGCTTTTTTTCCGCAAAAGATAGGGCGGTCCATGGCAACTTGATTGAAATGTCACGGTTACTTGGTTACGATAGGCAAATTGTTTGTGCTGACTCAACAATGACTTTGCCACCGTAGAATTTTGTTAGCGGCTTCGCGTCACACTTGGCTTCTCTTAGATCTGCCTTCTTTATGTTTAATTATCGTCTTGGAATTACGCCATTATGTTGGTTTATTTCCTGCTGCACTCAATCGACTTACATTTGGTTTTGTTCCCAACATTCTCTCCTCGTTCCCGACATTTTCTCTTTCTTCGTCGGCCTTTTCTTGCGGCTCTGTTTGCTTCTTGCGTTGCTCAGTCTGTATACAAGCTCAAACTTTGCTTCTTCGAAGTTGTATTTTCTTCTCTATCTTTAACTCATTGGCAACAACTTTCGTGTTTATTTTCCTTTTCAGGTTTATGTTAAAGGCAGAAAAAATGCTTCTCTCTTCATAATAACTTTCAGATTTGTATTTCCTGCTTCATTCTTTCGTTTTCTGCTTTAGATATTATTACTTACCTCGTTTTGGATTTGTGATTTTTCTTTGTTTTATTTCATGTTCTGATTATTTAACCTTTTCTTTTTTCTTTCTATATTTATTTCTTTTTTGCATTTTCCTTTTTTCTCTTTTCCTTATTTTATATCTTTTTATTGTTCGTTTTAAGTTTTTTTTTTCTCTGCTTAATATTTTTCTTCTATCCTTACTTTCTCCTTTTCTTTTTCTCTGTTTAATATCTTCTTATTTTTCTTTTATCATTACTTTCTCCTTTTCTTTTTCTCTGTTTAATATCTTTTTCTTTTTCTTTTATCATTACTTTCTCCTTTTATTTCTTCGTTTTATTCGTTGTCATATTTTTTCCTTTTCCCCTTTTCTCTACTTTATATCTATTTTTTTTAATTTCCTTTTTAACTGTTTCCTTTTATTTGTTCTCGCTTTTGATTTCTTTCTATCTTTCTTTCAGTTTTATATTTTCTCTTGTATGATTTTCATCTTTTTAAGTTTATTTAGTTTTGCATTCTTCCTTTTCTAAACATTCCTTCTCTTTAAGCCGCACCTAGTTTTCGCGCTTTATTCTCATTATCTTTTTCTTTTTTCTTTCTTTCTGCTTTTCTGTGATTCTCTATACTGCCATTTTTCTTTCCTTTTTTCCTTCCTTTCTCTTTTCTCCGTTTTCCTCTGTTTTTCTCTACTTTTCTCTATTTTTTCATTCCTCTCTCTTCTTTCTCTGTTTTCCTTTCATATTTCTTTCTATTTTCTAAAGTGTCTAAATATTTTCCTCCATTCTTTCTTAATTTATCGTTTAATTATAGATTTCATCTTTCCTTCTTCTTTCTTTCTGTATTCCCCTTTCTTTATCTGTTAGTTTCTTGGATGATTTTGATTTTTTGGATTCTCTTTCTTTGTTCATTTCTTTCTCATATTTTTCTCATCTTTCTTTCTATATATATATTACAAATATATTTTAGTTGGTATTGTTTTTTTCTGATTCTGCCAATAATTTTATTTCTTTATTTTTTTCTCTCTGATTTACTCGCCACTTTCTTTTTAAAATATGTATTTTTCGGTCTTTGCCTTTCATTTCTTTTCCTTTTTCTTTCCTTCTCTTCTCTATTATTTTCTACTTCATCTCTTTCTTTTCTCGTATTAATTTTTATTCCTTTTTATTATTTATTTATTTATTTATTTTCCGTAATATGTTGTCTTTCTTTCACTCTTACTTACATCCTTCCTTCCTTCCTTCCTTTCTTTCTTTATTTTTTTATTATTTATTTCTTTCTTTCTTTCTTTCTTTCTTTCTTTCATAATGCCTTTTCTGTACCTTTCTTAGTAATATCTATACTATTATATTTTTTCTTTCCTCAATTTTTTTTTATTTTTACACATTTTCTACTTTTTCTATTTGTATTAAATATTTGCCTTTTTTGTTTTCTTTCCAATGTGAAGAAAGAATATTTCCTTTTATATTCACCCTTTCTTCGCTTTTCAGTTCTGTTTATTTTGCTGTCTTTCTTTCTTTGTTTCTCCTTCTTTCTTTCTTTCTTTCTTTCTTTCTTTCTTTCTTTCTTTCTTTCTTTCTTTCTTTCTCATTCTTACTGTCTTGATGTTCTCCCCCTGCTTTGTGAATTCTTTTCATTTCAATTTACCTCTCTTTCATTTCACTTCCATTTTGAATAAATGCATTCCTTCGTTGAACTTCCATCGTGAAAACAGATTTCCATCTGACTGCGCAATCATAACTGAAAGGAATTTATTGATCAATATATATTTTTTGAATTCACACAAGACATCCAGTCGGAACTGGGATACACGCTCCTAAAAGACACACAAAAACCACGATTGTTTATATTCCTTATTATATTGAAATATTTCATACTATAAGAATCCACATACGTCAATCGGAGAAGACAGATATTGACATTTACGCATGCGTAATAATAAACGCAAGGATTCCACGGAGTGCGTAATAAAATGTACGCATAAAATATTAAAACTGATGTAAAATATTAACTAAATAAAAATTATTTTACACATAAACATTCATTAATATGTGGGTGTTAATTGCTGTGGAAATGAATATCATTACTGTTTTTTAAGGTACTTTCCTTGCATTCAGATTATATATACATGCATAAAATCCCCTTGAATGGGAGGGAAACTGGATGTACAAATATAAACATCAAAGGTAAAATCGTTGAATCAAGTTACAAATGGTTTTTTGATGTTCAATTCACGATAAATTTATTTATAATGGCATGAATCTTATTTCTCACTGCTTTTTGCATGACCGTCAGATACGAATAAACAAAAATCTCATCTCTGACATGCCACAATTTCAGTATTCAATTTACTCCCATATCTATTCAATATCTCGTAGATAATATATATATATATATATATATATATATATATATATATATATATATATATATATATATATATATATATATATATATATATAGTCTTAAGAGGTGCTATATTTATGGGATAAAGTGCTCGATATCAGAGATAGAGCGTGTGTAAATATAAAAGTGAACATAAAGTCAACATAGAGGCGACACTCTAATTCATGCTAGATGCCTGACGATAGCATCTAGCATGAAACAGACTGTCGCCTCTAAGGGTTGAATTTATACTATATATATATATATATATATATATATATATATATATATATATATATAAAAAGGCAAAGTGAAAAATTATCTTAACCGACGCAACACGTCCTCTGATGGAGTTATTAAAACAAATGTAAAGATTTTACATATGCAACAAGTATTTATATAATAAAGTAAAAAATGTTATTTTAAAAAATTAAATTCGTATATATATATATATATATATATATATATATATATATATATAAAAAAAAGAGAAGAGAGGTGCCGCTAACGTTTTCACATACACACACACACACACACACACATATATATATATATATATATATATATATATATATATATATATATATATATATATATATATATATATATATATATATAAAAGAAATATAATGTAGTGGTTCCAACGAGAGAAAAGTATGTATATTAAAAAGGAGAGAAGAGAGGTGCCGCTAACGTTTTTGGTTGTAATGTGGATTTATTTAGAAAAAATATTATGCTTTGTTTTATGACACGTGTTTCTGGTCTCGCGACCGTCTTCAGGTAAAAGTGGAGATTTCCACATATTATTAAAAATAATTTTTCCTCATGTTCAATGTTAAATATTCTCGATATGAGACATTCTCTGTTTGTGTGTTGGTAATCCGAATTTCCTTCTTGAATTGGCAATGAAGAGTTCTGCGCGAAGGGTCATAAAACAATTAAGGTTGGTCCAGCGAAATGATAAATTAGTTATCGGCATTTTATCTTTTAATGTTTTACTGACCCCTATGTGCTCTTGGATCTGTTTCCATTTTGGTGCGTTTCTGTCAGCATGCGTGTATATATGCGTGCGTATATTTCCCCTCCATACATATACTGTCTTACTACGAGGAATTCGTAAACTTATTTGTACATTTTTTTAACTAGAGTTTATATTGCAATTTTTTGTTCTTATTCATTGCTTTTCTCTAGCACTCCAAATACTGGTTCCCATATTGTATAACATTTCTCTGCTTGGTCGGCTCAAGAGATTTTTGTGGCATTAAGGAATCAGCACATGCACTGATTCCTTAAGTTTTCGTATTTTCCAGGGATGTTCTCTCTCTATTATTTCAACAATATCGCACAATAAACCCTCGTAAAAATGCAATAATAATAACAGAAAAATTGCAATATGAGCACTTATTAAAAAAGGTTGCTGAGATATTAGGTTTACAAGTCCCAAGAATTCATACACAGATGCTCTTAAGGGCACATAGCACAGTGGATAGAGGATTTGGTTAGATCCAGTGACTAGAGACAAAGAGTTGTGAAAAAAAAAAGTGACTTTCGCACCAGTCTATAGCCATGGTAAAACAAAACTTGGAGAGTTGAGTTAAAGGGAGATAATTGAGACATCAGGAAGAGGCATTGCACGAGGAACTAAAATAATCTACACCGCTGGACAAAATAGGACTCGGTTCGAAATTCCATTTCAATACCAAGCTCATAAGAGTGAGTTGAGTTACAATAATTGAGATATCCGGAAGTGGTATGACACGTGGATCTAGAACATCCTTCCCCAGTGGACGCAATACAATCACCTGAGTGGACAACTGTCAAAACTTTGTGAACATGAGGATAGCAGTTCAAATAATTTATATAATTAAACTTTTTTATTATGTTCCCGTAATTTTTCTTGACATAAATTAGATAGAATTTCACTGAATGTCGAAATGAATAGCTGAAAGCGCTTACACATACAGAACATTCGGACAATTTCTATATAGTTTATATCAAGAAAAGAAAAAATATTAAAAAATGATTTAAACGCAATACGTTGTCAGTCGTTTTTAACAAAACTTGCACACACACACACAGGCACACATACACACACACGGACACACACACATATATACATATATATATATATATATATATATATATATATATATATATATATATATATATATATATATATACGATGATGGAACGAAAGTCATTTATAAATTCCAACGTTCACAGCATTAATCCAAAAGAGGGCTCGATAACGTCGAAGTGCAGTTGAAATGCGCTGAAACGAAGTTGCATCTTTGTAAAGCGTAAAATGCTTTTCTCTATGTGATAAAATTCTAATAAATAAATAAATTATATATATATATATATATATATATATATATATATATATATATATATAATCTTTTATATATAGAGATTGTCTCTTCAAGGCCAAGTTATCTTAGCGTGAGCCTGAGGATAGTTGAAGATAGCTGACATCACGAAACTTATGGATGGCTTAGAATTGTACTTTGAAATATCTTTTTATTCATCGATGGTAATTATTTTCGATATATATATATATATATATATATATATATATATATATATATATATATATATATATATATTGTGCACACTTATTGACAAAATTCTACTCATCATAGCACGCGTTAAATTACATCCTTTTACATATATTAATAGGTGTTATTACACTCATCACGTATATATATATATATATATATATATATATATATATATATATATATATAGAGAGAGAGAGAGAGAGACATACCTCTGTAGTATATAGTTAAATAAGTATCCATCAAAAAAGAAGTTCATGAAATGACTTGAATCAGTAGTAGTAAATAGAAACATAGGTAGATAAAAATGGCCAAATTGGATCAATCACAGGAAATTATGTTGTTGGTAGATTCAACTTATCCAGCAGAATGCAATTTCTTGCAAGATTAATATCTCTCCCAGACTTAAAATATATCATATTTATCGTAGACAAACATGTATACAATAATAGTAGCAAATCACAGTTTTCAAGGTTAGGTTATGAAATATTGGAAACCTCAATCATTAATTCTGTTGAATAAAGAGAGAAAACGTAATCCTTCTAAAATCCTATATATATATATATATATATATATATATATATATATATATATATATATATATATATATATATATATATATCGGTAGCAGTCCTACGAGTTTATTAAATCTACCTGAAAAGGAAACACATTATCTCTTATCTCTGAAACATTTTTCTTTTTTAAAATCAGGCCTCTTCTTGCTTCCGGAAAGTATACGAGCAGGTTTGATGGAATCATGTGCAAGCGGAAGGGACTCAACAATGTCAATACGGGTTTTATCACGATATGCATTAAAGGATTTTCTTTTGTTTTGTTTTTCGTTTTAAATCTGTTGACGTCAGCGGTCCGTGATCACGTCTAATATCTGCATTTATAATATGTGTGTCGATTAATCTTTACATTTTCCTTTTAAGTAACAGATTTTATTACAACCTGATGTTTCTATTTTTCCAATTGTATCTCTTTTCCCACGCCGGATATCAATGTGATAAACAGAGGTCAAATATTTAGGATGACATTAGAAAAGAACATTGCAGAATTTTACATTCACAAAATAAAACAAAATAAGTATTAGGCGTCCATATATGTGTTTATATACACCTTAACAAAAGATGTTAAGTTATGACAGTATATCTGGAGTAAATAAAAAAAAAGTAAACAGCCTTAGAAAGAATTTCAAATAACGGATAAAAAAACTATGTGTGAAATTATTGAATTGTTATATTTCATGTGTATGGAACAAAAGCAAGAAACAGCTGACTATGCAATCGAGACAGCACGCTAATACGGTTTTAAATTCTCACTTCCTTATCTCGAAGTGATGTTTCCAAGAGCTAAAACAACGAATGGCTGGAACAGGATTCGAACCTGCATCCTAAACGGAACCGTCATTTACGCTGACGTGCCTTACCGTCTCGGCCACAAAGGACGAATATTTTCTATGAAAATTTCTCGGACATTCAGGCCGGTAAATGTTATTTAATACTGTTTATTATAAACAGGGCATTTACTTAAATACTTGTATCTATAAAAAAGAACGTTAAACATAATTGTCTTTAATAAAGAAATTGTCGGACTTTGTCCATTTCTTTATATATATATATATAAGTAGTGTATTGGGACAGCAGATCATTATTAAAAGATATATTATTAAATATAACAGACAATGAATGTCTATTATATCTGATCATGAGCCGTTCTAATGTTCCAATGT